ACAATTACGCGTTAGCTTTAAATGCTTTAAAAGAGCGTTATCAAAATAAACGAAGGTTAGCACAAATGTATATAGATAATATTTGTAACTTTGGTAAAATGCCCAATGGAAATGCACATAATTTACAAAGATTTCTGAAAGTTCATACAACTTCGGTAAATGCCTTCAACGCGTTGAAAATTACTGATAAAGCTGAATATTGCTTTTACATTTTTTTTGGCGTTACATAATTTAGACCACTAACCACGGAAGTTTCTCTCTCTCGGAAGAGTAAACACTCGTCAAATTCAATCCCTCTGTATAAACAACTTATAGAATTTGTTATTGAAATGTGTCGAACTTATGAATTGTTAGAATCAACCGTAAAAGAGCCTATTAACCACCGAAAACCACGCATGTTTTTGTTATATCATAGTTTGTTACACCCATCCCATAGTGGACCTGAAGCTAAAGCATCAGTGCCCACAAACGAGTCTGAAACAGCACTATTTTCTTCAGTAACTGAAACACCGTCTACTCTTCGTATATCTAAGGTTTCTGAGACTAAGGTAAAACCCAAATTAGTCTTGTTGGGTACCTCCAAAGTCTTGATCCATGATTCGTGTGGTCAGTTCCAGTCAGCTAGAGCTGTGTTGGACTCTGGTTCTCAGGTTTCTGCTATAACTTCGTCATTAGTTAAAAAATTGGGACTTAAACCTGTTAAAGTTATTTGTGAAATAATTGGTATTTCTAATGATCGTGTGAAAGCGTGTGGTGCAGTTAATTGTGTTATTGCCTCGTAGTCTTACCCAAATATTTAAACTCCGTGGTTGTGCTCAATTTATGATTTTCAATTGCCTTCGTCAAGTAAGCATTCGGTACCAAACTGCCAAGTCGAAAGTTATAAGTTTGGAACACCAAAGGCCGGTTTTAAAAAAGATTTATTTACTTCAAAACATACAGAGAAGATTACAGACTAGAGGCAACCACAAGTAGGACTGATAACGGACTCACGAATGTTACAACTTTGCAGCCGTTTGATCCGGCTGCCACTCTGAAGAGATAACGGACAAGGAGAGAGAAAATAATTGAGGACACACAGAATATAGATTGGGCTAGGAAGAATAATAATTTCGCCAGATTTTGGATTTTAGAAAAGAAAGAGGGTGATTTTAAAGGAGATTCTCCCATCAAGTTGTGCCGAATGATACGTAAGCAACTTGGCCGAATCAAAAACATAAAAAAGACTGCTGCTGGCCAACTGCTATTAGAAATCGACGACAGTTTATCGGCACTAATGCTTGAGAAGACAGTCTGTTTAGGAAAAACCTACCCGGTGACCTCGACGCCCCACAAGCGATTGAACTCCTCCAAGGGCGTGATCTCAGCTCGAGATCTAATGATCTGCCCGGAGGAGGAAATTAAAGAGGAATTGGCGTCACAAGGGGTCACCGAAGTCGCGCGTGTTAAAAGGAAAAGGAAAGGAAAGAGTACTACGAGTATAAAACCAAAAAAGAGGGAATCAGTCAAAGACGTAATACCACAACCACGGTTAATTTGAAGCAAAATGATTTTGAGGAACTGATATCCCGATTTGTCGTTAGCTCAATGGTACCTTTGCGTGTGGTAGAGGACGAACGGTTCGCTGAAATATTTAAACGGAGTAAAATCGACGGGCATGGCCTCAAAGTGCCTAGTAGGCGTGCTCTATTCCGCGCTATAGAAAAAACTTTTGATGCAGGCGATTCAAAAATTCGCATACTTTTCATAGGATTGCTAATGAACTGCAGCTAATCCACTCGCAGTTTGGTTTGAGTACCACAAAAATTGTAGCTACCGTCACAGATAATGGCTCAAATTTTATTAAGGCGTTTAAGAAGTTCGGTGTTAACAAAAACTTGATAGAATTGAGTGCAGAATTGAACGTCTTTCCAGATGACGGCGAGAGTGTAGAGCAGCAGCATGGGAATGAACATGATTCGTCATCAGAATCGGAATCCGAGCATGAGGCAGGATACCAAAACCAAGGGTTCCTGAACGAAACTGAACATGAAGCTCAGTCTATCAACTCCCCTTCACGTCGTCGGCCACACCAATTTTCTGAGACTGTGGCTCATATCCTGCCAGATCATGTAGATGTTGTTCGTATACACTCAATTTATGTGCAACTTCCGATATCTATAAAGCGATATCTAATGAACCGACACTTGCAAGTACACACAAGTTGGTTGTGTTGAAATATAATTCTATATGGAGCTTGGCTTCAAGACCAAAGTCGAGCGAAATTCTGCAGGAAGTACTTCATAAGTCATACGTTATGAAGACCAGGTGAAACTAGATGGAATTCACTGTACGACGCTCCAGCAAATTGTGAAAAATGAGGAAAAAATTTCGCAATTGTATCGCCAGATGAAAGTTAAGCGAAATCAGCAATTGACAACTAATGATTTTCTATACATAAAAGAACGTGTTGAATGTTCAGTTCCACTGGCAGTATTGCTTGACATATTACAGGGCGAAAGAAATGCATTTTTTGGAATGCTGATACCCTCAGTGGTAAGTCTCAAATTAAAACTTGAAGCTCTGCAACAGAAAACATGGATGTACTGTCAGCACATCATAGACAGGTTCGTTTTCAGTGTTCAACAGCGATTCGCAGAATTCTTCAATATTTCAACTCCACAGGCAGAAACTGCTGCTATTGCTGCTCTTTCCAACCCACTGTTTAAAAAGCGGTGGCTTAACTCGATTGATAGCGCTCACCATGATCGGGTATTAAAACATTTCACATCTGCAGTCGCACAAATGATTCGAGACAGGTTAGAAGAAGATTAAATGACGACAATTTGGAAGGAGAAATAGCTCCTCCGTATTTTCGCTTTTTTGACTTTGCAGGTAATGAACAGCCACCATCTGAGATTCGATGCCATTCTCAAGCGCACGTACAATTCAGCAATTATTTAAATGATCGTTCAATAACAACGAGTATGCTGAATAAACACCCTGACATCAAAAAACTTTTCTTAAAAACAAATATTATTCCATCATCTGCTCCAATGGAGAGGCTATTCTCGTTTGCCTCCATGACTAACGCCCGAAAAGCTAACAGAATGTCTGATAGAAATTTCGAAATACGTGTCATTCTTAAAGATAATGGTTTCCGTTTCAGCGAATTTTCATGTTAATTTTTGTTTCAGAATCAGGAAAAGCTAGCAAAACATATTAATTCTTCGGTTATTCAATTTGTTCATGTTGCTTAATAGGTATGTAAACTTATTTTTCTAAGTGAAGGTATTTACTTACTCGGTAAATTGATCAGTTAGTCGGTTTTGGTCATTAACACACATCAGTTAAAAGTGAAACACTAAAAAAAAATTTTCTTTACTACAACATGAATGTCTCATGCTACTTATGTAATCCCCAATTGAAAAGTTTGTTTGTCCTGATGTGAAAAGTTTTTTCTCCTGTGGAAACTGATTTTATGGAATAAGTACGTACTGTTTTGTTTTCCAAATGTTTTTTTTTTCATTACAAGTTACTCAAACATGAAAAGCGACATTTTCTCCGGGAGTATTCCAGGTATATTTGAATTTCATATTAAGTTTTCACTTGAGGACTGAAAATGGAAAACGCAGTTAGTGACTTTACCAGTCATAGATTTTTCGCTCTCCTTAAAGTTTTAAATTTTGAAAATTCATGCGTTTTCCATTTCCAGTCATCAAAAAATAATAATTTTTATATGCATTCCCAATGCACCTAGAATTCAACACAGCATGCTTGAAACTTGTTGAGACAAAAAAATAAGTTGACTTATTTAGTCATAAACAGATAAAATGGGATCATTTGGAGTTGTCTAACTTACCTGTCTTTCCAAAGGCCAAAGGAATTCTGATGTTCTTTATTTTTTTAGCTCTTATAATCTACCTCACCTCTTTCGTTACTAAATTCTAAAATTTGGATTTTCGGCTTATGCTATCTATAGCAGAATTTGCATTGTTAAAGTGTTTTACAGTTCCTATGTGTCTATAACAGTTGTGGCGTATGTAAGTAGAATGTGGTACTGTGGAAAGGACTCTTAATACATAGAGTACGGTTTGATGCATTTTGCGTCAATGTAACTGTAGTTGGAGCTCAATAACTACAACTACATCTACTTGTAGTTGTAGTGGCAACTACTTTTTGCAACTACAGTAGTAGCAGTTACACATTCGAACTTCGGTAGTTGCGGTAGAGAAAATAGGAGTTGTGGATGGCCAACTACCAACTAGTAGTTGTAGTGGCAACTACTTTTTGCAACTACAGTAGTAGTAGTTACACTTTCTAACTAAGGTAGTTGCGGTTGAGAAAATAGTAGTTATGGATGGCAAACTACCAACTAGTATTTGCAACTACTTAAAATGTAGTTAATGGTTGTAAATAACATTTTTCTAGAGTTTAGGTTACAACACGCAGTTGTAGCTTGGAATTACTGAGGGTTTTTAAAAGTAGTTACCTATGTAGTTAACTACTATTAGTAGTTAACTACTGACACGCACAACACTGGTGGAGATGCAGCTGTCGGCACCTGCGTACGTGGAACTCCCGTACCTCCCTCGTCTAAATCAAGCAAGTACGGGGGGGGGAGAAGCGTTACGTTTTTGTTCGTTCTGAATGGTATTACTCCCCCAAGCATACCGATGTTTTACTTCAAACTTTGAAATTTGGGCCTTACAGATCCTTGTAATCAAACAAAGTATAAGAACACGTATTGTGTTCATTATGGCTTTCCATTTACAACTCTGTAGTAATAATTTTGTAAGGATTAATGTTTTTCAAGCTTACAAAAAGTGCCTTAAGTGGTTAGTGAAATATTTAATAAAGAAAAAAGTTTTCGTTTTCATTGAAAAGATGTTTGTAAATGTTGCAAAAAGTATGCACATTAGTAATAAAATGCAACCAATGAAATGAACAAATTTAATCGATTTTATTGACGGATATAAAATTTCAAGGAGATTGAGGATTTAATGAAAGATTTATTCTGGAAAATATACCTTTATTTAACATCACATATTATATTTACAACATATCAAGTACATAGAAATGTGTAACCAATAAAATTTACACAAACGAAATTGTCACCTACTTATTGCATCGGTACATACTAAAAATGTAGTACATACAAATTTGCAATAGAACAGTTTTTTTTTTAAATTGTTTTATTATATTTTTGTTTAAATACTTTTAAAGATACGTCATGTCAAGGGTCTTTGAATAACACAAAGTTGCGACTAATTTAAAAACGATGCACAATTAAAGAACTTGTCGAAGTCTGTTTATAGGGCACAGAAAGAGCTAACATCAATACTTGCCTGGTTTCGATTAACTGGACATAGAATAGAATAATGAGTCTTAATAATTTCCTGAAAAAAACGAAGCTTGAATGTATTGAGCAATTTTAAATGGTAAATAGTAACAGTGCATTTATATAATAATGCGATACCTTGGTCGAAGCCAGTTTTAAACGCAACTTTCCTGCTGGCTGCCCATCAGCGGCGTCCTTACTGATATGACTTCTCTATGAGTAGGAATAGCTTTCCCAGACGTCGGCTGAACGTTTTCCTCCATCGTCGAGTAACAAATCGGACCCTCTCCGGATTTGGACCTCATTTCCGTTCTCAAACCGACGCGGCCTTCGTCGAATGACAAATCGTTCCCCTGAAAAGGACAAATATAAATTTCCTTTCGGAACAAAATTATATAAAAAATGGGGCCGCGTCGGGGCTGGGTTGCTCATCGATGTTACGACTGGGGTGGGGTTTTTATGAAATGACATCGAATGGTTGTAAAACCCACAGGTCTTAAATTAGACTTGGGCCTGTCTTTTGCAATTGATAGTCCCGTATTTTTTATTATTATTATCAACTTTCCCATCTAATATGTGAATTTTAATTTAATTACGAAAGTTTATTGTGTAATTTAAATACCAGGTTTTTTCACAAGGTTCAAACTAGACATTAATACTATATTTGACTTGATTTGTTCCTTCCACAAATGTATTGTCACAACAATTTTTTTTACAATTACAATTTTACAAATTTTTAATTTTCGATACACTTTTCTCCGAAACCAATCATATTAAAGTGATTCATTTATAATTTCATAGAACAATAATAGTTAAACAACTGTAGCGAGCAGTATATTTAAACAACACCCAAGAGTGGAGAAATTATTTTTTATATAACAAATACATAAAAAAATTAGGTTGGTACCAAATATTCTCAATTCATTAATTTTGAAAATCCCTAACGGAATCGTAGGTTACTAAGAAAAATGATAGTTCTCAAGAGATTCTGAGCTTTATAAATTCTAATAATTTTTTGATAGTAGCGAATCAAGTGTTTTGGTGTACCGTGTCTTATGCTATTTGTTGAAGAACGTTGTATTTTATTAAATCCATTAGATTTCGTGGTACAATTGACCAAATACCTTCTTTCAATTAATTAATCTTTATGTAAGGTATTGGTTGAAATGGTTGTATTTTATAGTATGTGTCAAAAACTACCTTCTTAACTAAAACATCGTCTTTCAAACCCATGTCGCATACTCTCCATCATATTCACACGATTCTTTGTCCATTTTGTAATGTAATAGTCGAAAAACAAGCGTCGTGTTTTTGAAAAGAACACAGACGCTAAGAAAAACAATGATTGTGTAAAATCGCATCACAAATTTAGGTACAAACAGCATTAAATATTTTTAAAATTATTTTTAATTACGTGTAGTATACTAACACAAATAAAACAAAAAACGATTGGTTGTAATGGACCAAATAGATTTTTAGAAAATTGTACCGAGAAATGGCAACTTTTTGGCTTCTCTGATCAGAAAATCGCTTCTCCTGAAATATTCTATTTTCTCACCTAGAATCTACCTCATATTAAAACCATTGTTTATTCATTTTGTACAAATAAAATACCTAAACTATCGTAAGAAACTAATAGTTTCTAAAAACTTAGGAGCTGAAAACTATTTGTACAATTAATTGTTGTGTAGAAATAATTGTGGAAAATTGTATCACACCTTTGTTGTTGTTATCATTTCTAGTTTTTTCCCACTGATTTATCTCGTTGCAAGTCATTGGTTTTGATTCTCGGTCTTGTTGTATCATTTCCTAACGCTGTAATTATTACGTCACCTGTTTTCGGAAAATCATTGGTATATAACGAATATTGGACCTAGTATGCTCCTTTGGAACATTCCAGCATTTATTTACATTTTTAGTTGTGAATAATGATATTCTTGCGTGCCTTAGTGCTGTCTGCCAGCTAAGTAAGATGTCATAATATTTACTGCTTTTATAACATCCATCTTAGTTTACTTCAATTCAGACTTTGTGACCTTGTGATCCTGACCTAACAGTAGTACAGATTCATACTATACGAAGAAAAAGATTGGTTGTAGTAAACCAAATAGAATTTGAGAAAATACCCAAAAATGGCAACTTTTTGGCCTCTATTTAAACAAGTAAAAGATCATGAAATATTGGTAAAATAGAGTAAGAGATTGATGTCTAACTAAAAACTCCTGAGAAAAAATGTGTATCAAAATTAAAATTAATCAAGGCGAAGTGAAGTGAAAAAGGCAAAATGATAACAAAAGTTAATTCTAAAATTTTGATTATTTTATTTAGGAAAAATGTAATGAAGGTTATCTGTTATTAAATTAAATTCTAAAACATAAGAAAAGGGATTTTAAATAGGAAAACTGAAACCTTTTTTATTTCGGTGAATAAATGCATTAATTTGGCAACGAAGTTTTTTTATTAAATGAATAAACTAATGTGAAAAATAACATTTTTCTTGACAGTATTCTGAAAAAAAGATATTTACGTTTTTTTGATTAGTGGCAAACCATTAAATAGGCCCTGACATAATAAATAATTATCATTCTGTATGCTTAGCATCAGCTGGCGGAGAAAACTTGAAGCGAGGTTATTTCCTAAGAAGAAGAATAACCCAGCGCAAACTACTTACATCGACATCACAAAGTACAATTTGAAGCTGTTCAACATCAATTATTTAAGCCGGAGACGTGTCCACGCACTTAAGCGAGTGCCAAGTATATCGTAAGAAATTCATTATTTCTTTACTTGTTACACTGAAATGTTTGGACATTATTCTCGTATTGCTAGTTTAAAAAAATCAGACGAATAAAGCAGTAACAACTTTTTTTTTTACTAAAGAGAATTTATTATATATTAAATAAATTTGAATAATATAAGAATATGTGCTCAATTTCATCAGCCGCACAAAAAAGGATATAAATCGGAAAGGGCGATTGCCCGAAACTTCTTTTTCTACATCAATTTTTAACTAAAATCAGTAGAATTTGGTGAACAGAGAAAATTTCAATATGTTAGTAAGGACTATAAACAATCTTTTTTATTACAACAATAGGGTTTGTTTTTCTCAATTACTGGCCACTTTATATTGACACAGGGAAACTGGAAAACTCTGGATGTATGGCCAGCACACCTAGACAACATGAAAATCTTGCTAATTTGAGAAGACAGATGCTGTTTTTGAGGGTTTGTAGTTTTGTACACCGTAAAGAGTGTATATCTACAGAGAGAGATCGGTTTCTATCAGTAATAATAATTACAATTATGGTGAAGTGCAATTATATATTATTTAATAGTTATTATGACCTTATAAGTTCAAACGGGCAGTATGAACTAATTTAGCGTGCCTGTTTCCACGACTCTTTACCTTTGACAGAGACTTTATGCAAAAGAGAGGTGGTCAAAGGGTGGAAAGAATGAAAAAAGCCTATTTAAAAACGAATGGCCATATTTTACCAGTAATAAACTCACGGGATAGGGGGTATACGTGAAGGGGAGGAGGTAGTCTGAAAATCCTGTATCACTTTTGTGCCATGTTGCACGTGGGACGAACAACTGTGGAGCATTAAAAAACCCCGAATGTAAAAAGGAAAATTACGCCTTGTCAGGTAATCATTTTACGACATGTGGGGGTCTCAAAAATTGATGAGACGGTTAATGTTTTGTCATCTTGGCACATAATCCTCCATAATCTTCTATAAAGATAATTTTCATTTCTTAAATCCAATTATAATTTTATTTAACCAGCTACAAATATGAACTATGAAATGTTATATTTGGGGAAATTTTTTTTGTTAAAAAAAAACAAAAAAAAAAACAGTTTATCCTTGGCAGATAAATATTTTATTTCAATAATTTCCACTTGATCCACTCTTTGGTCGTGGCCAGATGTTTTTCCCATTCTCTCACTCATCCACGAATATTTGCTGTATGTAGTTGAATGATAATAAAAATCTTCGTTATTAGAGTGAACAAAGGTATTTTTCAAATTTTTCTTGTAGTTAGTGTTATTTTTGTTTTATAAAAGTTTTTGTGATAGATTTATTTTGTGTTAACCTTTCGTGAGAATGTATTTAAATGCGTGAATGTGTAGTACATGAGGGTTGATATTTGGTATGATTTGGACAATGAGGATCGTGTTGTTTCTCAAGCTGAGAGCGCCTCCGCATACGACAGAAGGGTATTACTCCCGCAGCGTTGGTGTAGAGGCAGCTCAGCCCCGAGGGGGCAAGACAACCTCTCTCTCCGCTTGCCCATTCCGAGTGGTCGGGTCCGCATTAAGCATCGAACCGTATGCCGCGCGCAAAGTGCTACCTCAGCCGAAATACATCAGCCTGGTCTCCTGCTCACTCCCTAGGTAGAGACGAGTACAGTATTGGGACTTCCCCAGCGTAGAAACTACCGGATCCGCTCCAGCCGCGGCTTTGTTTAAAGTGGAATTGCTAACCACCCCCTAGAGGAGATCGACTACGGTCAAAGCCTCCAATCGAGCTCAGCCTATACCCACGTGCAAAGCAAACTCGAGTAGGAGGAACCGACCACTACCCGTTCCCATCCGCCACTACTCACGCATTCGAGGGACTTTTCAGCATAATCATAACGTCCTCAACGCTTATACGCTGTCGTCCGATCTGCCGTATCCCGTGAAGCCGGCTGTATAACGATGGTCATGAGCAAGTTTCGTACGAAGTTCACAGATAGAAGACATCCTCTTCTCTAATTACCCGCCAGGGGTCTCGCTACGGCCAACTACGAGTCCATTCCCACTGTAACAGGGGCTGAAACTTGGAACATTTCTGTTACCCCGTAGTACAGATGGCTATGCACCCTCCCCCGTCTATGAAGACAGGATCTTGTGCCCTAACCTTCGTGTGCCTCTGATAAGGCACCCGCCGCCCCATGCCGACCCGAGGCCGAGACGAGTACAGCTTGTGCATTAGAGAGGTTGGCAAGCACTCAGGGCTACACAATTATTTTGCTCCCGGACACCCCTCCCCATCCTTATAACGAAGAGTTGGGAGGGGTCACAGGAAACAATGAAGGAGCCTGGAGTGAGAAAGGGTGTAGAATTGGGCACCGAGTTATTTAGTGCTCAAGGGTGCAGGCACTAGGCAAATATTATGTAGTTACGTGGGACATCGTAAATGATCCGGAAGAGAAGGAGCCATACTCCCTCTCGGGCTCAACAACGAAAGGCAGCCAGCCAGAGCCAGCGAGGACAAGCCGTTGCAACTCATCGGATAAAGTCGACGGTCGAGATACCAGGGATGCTGTGGACGCTGATCGTGGTGAGCGTCCTTTGGGTAAGTCCCTTTGTTGGGGTATGTAGTTGAATGATAACCCAATTCAATCCCCTCATCCCAGATTTAGAGTTATGGACTTGTTAAATTAATTAAGATTTTGTATAGCTGTGTGCACATTTAAAAATGGAATTGAATGAAAATAAATGCTTAAAAATATATTCTATGATTTATTAGACATCCTAGAACCTCACCTTCACCACAGAAGAATAAGTATCGAAGCCCTTACCCCGACTACTCGCTTATAGCTTAGAGAAAAGCAAGCGAATCTTGAGATATTGTTCGGCCGTCACGCCATCTCGCCCCTTACAATATTATATTAACAATAACATTATGGGGCGTCGGTGGCCGCAACGGTTTAAGCGTTAGCATGGCGCTCATCACTGTAAGGTAAAGTCCCGTCGAATGCAGGGCCGCTGGATTCGAACCCGACATACTTACAAATGAACTTTTTTTCAAAAACACCGGCACCCTGAGGGTTTGTATGACCTCTGCTGTTGCGAACCCTCGTAAAAAAGCCTTCTAACATCAAATCAATAAAAAAATAAAATAATAATATTAAATTGCACCAACCTAGGAGAAAGGCATGCCCCGGCTTTATACGAGCTTATTACGATTACACTTTCCTACCTCCCCTTTTCGCTGATTAAATTTGTTGGGAAAAATGTCAAGTTTCTTCATTTTGATGTACAGTTGTAGTAAACTTTTTCTGGGGTAATTGCTCTCACCCCGTTCAATAAATCAATCTTGCTACTGCCGAATATGCTCTATACTCGTAGGTGACACTCATTGTAACTGTAAAATTACTTTCTTTCCGTTTAAAAATTCGACAACCGGTTGTAAACAAGACAAAACCCATATTTTAAATGACAACCGTCTTGATTTTTCATTTATAAAAGAAAATGTCAGAAAAATTATGTGAATAGCAACTTTTATTACAAGAAAAATTAAACTCTTTAAAAATAAATATATCCAGCGTTTCTGAACTCATTCATTATGAATTGAACAAAAAAACCTTTCCTACCTTGATTCCCTTAGTTTTAAAGTGGGTGCACATGTCTCCATTTTGAGAGTTGCCTTTTGGTTGGAGCGAAACATACAAAGTAGTGTTGCGATCCTTGTGCAGTTCCATCAATCCTTCTTTTGTAGAGCCATTGAAAACAAGTTGGTAATCCGAATCTAAAATAATTAAAAAAAATGTTAAATTCGAAATAAATAAAAACAATAAAATGGCGTACCTTTGTTGCAAGGGATGACATCCGGATTAGGGTCTTCGGAGTCTAGGACTTCTCGGACGTCCGCTCTCAGAGTGACTTTTGGCTTCTTTTTGACCGTGAGACCGTTTCCGTTCGATGTGCCAGTGGAAGAGTTTCTGAGTTTTAGCACACCAAAAACTACGATAGCACAAGTCACAAGGACGACCGTCGTTACGACCAGAACAACTACTATCGGTGTTACGGCAAAGGGGACAGGAGGCCCTGGAAAAAAATCAAAACTTTTAACGTTTTATTCTACGAGCTGAAGAAAAATGAAATGTAACCAGCAAATGGAGAAATATCTTTTAATTCTACTCTATTTTACTAATACCAAAACAATGTCTGTATCTGTCTTACGATGAAATACAAAAATCAAAATAATCCTAAAGATGTTTTTTTTTAATTTTTCTAATTTGGAGGCTTTAAATATCAATACAAATTATAATTTTGTGCGTAATATATGTTTTTTCTCTGTCGCAACACTGAAAAATTTTATTTTAAAGAAGACTTATCACATCCCAATGTTTGGTTTTTGCGAATTTTTCCCCAACAAAAATTGTCTGCTTTGCTAGATCAGCCTTTTCATAGGCGATATCTTCAAGTGTCCAAGAACTCACATAAAAAGGACTTTAATTCATCGATTTTTCAAGGATTGAATAACAAGTAGGATGCCTTAGGGAGTGGGAGGAAAAGTTGTTTTCAATAGCAAACACTACTAACAATAGATTAGTACAGGTGATATGCACTTATTTCTAAAAGCTGAGGAATAAATATGTTACATAAAAACAGTGGAATAAACTTGTACTTTCGATTATTAAAGAGGACGCACCTGCACCTAGATAATTTTTGGACCCATTTGTAAAGTTCACTGTTATGTTCGGAAAGGCATCCATAATACCCGAAGTTTCGTGTTTATTTTTGTTTATCTTCAACATTTATATTAGCACATTTCTTTAATATGTTTTCTCTTTTTAAGTTACTTATCTATAGGAAATTATAAATATATAGGAAATCCTTGTGTGATTGTACATTACAATTGTACAGATTGTAATGAGCTCCGACAGACGGTTGTAAATAATGTCGTGTATACTTCGGATGTAAATAAGATTCATTGGTGTAACCAAATTTTTTGTAGGTAATAAAGTATTTTCTATTCTATTCTACTTTCTAAAATCGAAACGTAATTCGTGTGTTGGAAGCAACAGAGTGGCTTTGGTGAGACTCCAGCGTTATACAGACAGAGGTATTATACAGGCCTAAGGATTGTTCTCCTACAATTTATTTTGGTTAAAATTAAATTGAATCCTCCATTCCGACCTGATTCTTGAGAAAATGGTCCAATTCTACCAACTGATTGGTGATATTAAGGTAAATAGACCTCGATGAGGGGGCAGGAGGCATTTATTAAGGGGCAAGTCTCGAGGCCATTGTCGTTTTGGAAGCGAGGTCGGATCACTTTCTTGACAAAAGGAATATTGCGGTTGTTTTAGACTTTTAGTCACATAACAATGAACTTTGGTAACTTATCTGAGGAGTGGTGCTTGGAAAAATTGGATGCCACTGTTCCACTCCGTATACCCAAAAAGTAATGTTTTGTATGGGGATAGTTAAGTTTTGTCAGTCAAAACGGATGTCTTCGTAGTTGTCCGAGTCTGCTGATTCCACGTCCAGTCTTCCGTCTAGGTGTAGTCTTAAGTATCTATCTAATGAAAGTGGGTACCTCCTTGCTGTTGATGTACAGTCAAGAGCAAGGCTGCTGTTTAATTTAAATGTTTTCCAACATTTTTCCTCCTTACACTCCTAAATATAACTGCATATTAAAATTAAAATGCATCAAGTAGAAGCGGAATAAAAAAAAAAAAATAAATAGGAAAAAACCAGCTGTTCTTCCGAAAAACTGTTACAAACGGCAACTGTTTGGCTCTTTTTAAACAACTTTTTCTTAAAACCTTGCTGAAATAAGGTAAATTTGTCAAAATTGGTGCTCAAAGAAAAAGTATAAAAATAATTCTAAACCAACTATAGCCATGAGAAACGATTTATTACAATGTATTATCTATTTACTGCCACTACTAGCATAAATTTAGGGCAGTTAGCTGATATCTGATGAGTTGCTTCTCGAGGATCGACTCTGGGAAGTTCAAGTTAGATAATACCATAGTTAATAGTAGAGATACGCCCAGCGGACCTAAAACTACTAATTTCAAACTCAATAAAAAAAGAATGGGAAAACCGCTGGGCTCGAAGAAATATAATTAACCCTGCCAAACAGTGGCAGGTTAAGAAAGAAGTCGGTCCCTGGCCCACGGAGAACGGTTCGAAAATGGAAAAGGCCATACTGACAAGACTACGCGTAGGTCATACAAGAATACCGCACGGGCACCTTCTGGCCGGAAAGCGACCGCGTAGGTGCCCGTTATGTAAGGATAGAATAACGGTCGAGCCCCTCTTCAAGTGCAGAAGGCTTGATGTATATAGACAATATTTTGACATATCATCGGACCTGTGCGTAGTCTTGAGGCACGGCAGCAGGCACAGATCGCTCTTCCGGTACCTCAGGGCTATAGGGATTTTTAAATGTATATAGTTTTATGTGTTTGTGTTGTGTCTGTGTTTGACTTTATGTTAATTTATTGGAATGAATGTAATTTATTAGCATGAAAGGAAGGGGTGATTTAACCCCGCCCCGAGGAATATCGAGTACTCTGGGGTGAGTGTGTGACGTCTGGAGAGTAAAAGTAAGTTATTAGCGAGAGTGGAGAGGGTTCAACCCCGCCCCGAGGAATATCGAGTACTCTGAGGCAGTGAAAGTGACCAGACCTGTATGTTTCTATCGAGTGTTGTGTTTGTGTTAATTTATCGTAATGAATGTAATTTATTAGTGTGAAAGGAAGGGGTTGCTTATAACCCCGCCCCGAGGAATATCGAGTACTCTGGGGGAATGAATGTGACCAGACATCTATGTTTGTGGTGATGTATATATATGTATTGTATGTTTTGTTTTTATTCTGTATTTGACAACCTGAGGTACAATCGAGAGACTAGCATTCTAGAATATCAACCTAGTATATATCTGAAATCAGAGAGTCAGTAACCAGATTGAGACGCTTAAATGGCTGCAGTTTAAAACAAAATATGCGCGAAAGAAAAGAAAAAGATGGAAAACACGCAGAGGGCCGGCGATGACCTCAGCTGTTCGTCGGCCCATAAACTTCCCTCTTATATAATAGTAGAGATTTGGAAGTGGAGTTTAATTTGGGATTAGTAATATGTCTATAGCACAATTAGTTTCTTGGATGGGATCTCAATTTGAAGCTCATGTCCAGATTCCGAATATCACTTCTGACTCTGTTATCGTGCATGTGCACATTTAAGCTTATATAAATCCGCAATCAGTAATCAATGAAACGAGTTTTTGATGAAATAGTTGACAATTTTTCTTTAGAATCCGGTTGGATTGATTTTAGGATTTTTTATGATGACAGACGTCAAATACGGCTCAATTTTATTATTTACCCATTAATTTGGTATAGTTTGATTCTACATGTGTTCCGGATTCAAAACAAGATTGAAAATTTTAACAAGAAATCTTTATCAACTTATAATTAATCGCACTATGGTTTTTACAACCGTCGTAAACCATCACTAAAAACAGAGCAAAACCTATAGGCAATTTTATACCAAAATGTTTGTATGATCTGCTTAAGCTAAGATCAAACAAAATCGAAAACATTAAAATGGATTTTTGCATGACAAATTTCATTTTTCTAAAAATTGGTTCATCATATAATCTGTTTTTGATGGATCCATTTTTTGTTTATTTTTCATTTGCAGAACAGTTAACCCAACTAGATCATATCTATTCGGACAATATGTACGGAATCAATGATTACCTGTTTGTTTTTCAGCGATTTTCAGCGTGAATCCTTCAAGTAAGACGACGTCACTCCTTCCTTTGTTGTTGAAGGCGTAAATCTTGAGTTTTAATATAGCTCCTGGCAGAAGTCCGTTGACGGTGAAAGCAGGCTGCCTCGCCGTTTGATTCATCGTCAAGTAATTTGTATCGTAATCGTAAACTTCCAGCTGGAAATACTGCTGTTGGCCTCCGTCGTACCCCTCAGCGCAATCGACTTCCAATGAACTCATCGTTTGGTTAATTAAAGTGCAGTTATACGGAGGATCCGGCCGACCTGGAATTAACGGATTTATTTTTTATTTTTTGAATGCGTTTATAAAATGATTAAAAGGGATTTATCGGGGAATAATGTATTTCACATGTTAACTGTTTGAAAGCTGTATGGATTAAATATTTTTCAAGCAATGATTTTTTTAAGGAAAGCTCCGATTTTTTGTTAATTAATTGATTAACAAAATTACCTTCATTCAGTACATTCAATTATAGACTTCTAAGCAGAGATATTTTTCTCAAGGAATAGCCAAACTGACGATACGAAAATATTTTATTAGGAAGAACATCAACAAGGGCAAAGGATCAAACTTCTACAATTTGATAAACCTTTTTTACACACACGTCTTCTTTATAACGAGGACTGTAGTTAAAAGTTTGTACAAAAATGTATGAGACATTTATCTTTCCAAAGAGTCATTGGAAAAACGGGAATGAGTACTATTTTACGCCGCAACGGTTGAATGTTCGTCTTATCTTGCCAATATTTCGTCGGCACCATGTTAAAATGACGAATGTGGATTTCTATATTTTTCAAGAAAGTAAAAAAAAACATATCGAACATTAAAGTTATTTAGTGAGTTTTTAAATTGAAATTCATTTAGACCTCAGAAAGTGTACCGATGATGTTTATTATCATTGATTTCATTTTCAGAATTTTAACAACTTAATAAAATTAGTTTAAAATATTTATTTGTCTCTTCACTGCATATCGAAATTTGTGATGGAGTGTCACTAAATAATGGGTTAAGTATCGGATGTGCAATTTTCCGGTAGACTGAGGTTGAGTTGGTAACATTACTACTACCTCAGGCAGGCAGTTCTGTGGTGTATGTTAATAACTTACTTCCACCTCATGTATTTAACTATGCGTGTATGGTGAGGTTTATGTTGGTAACTTGCTATAACCTGAGATCTGTAACTATGTTGAAGTATAAGCTGGTAACATTACTACTACCTCAGGAAGGTAACTACGCTGTGGGGTATGCTAGTAACTTAGTACCCCCTAAGGGTGACAACTATGCAGAGGTGCGAGTTGGTACTACTACTACTACTATATGTCTTTATTGTTTAATACATATACAAAGTTTACAGATCGGCAGAATATATTACAGAGCAAGAAAGACGTTCCTCATGGTTTAAAACCGTCTGAGGGAGTCTAGCACATAAACTTATATAACTAAAATCTCTCTTCTTAGTATTTACAAGTAATTATAATAGTATTTACAAAAGGAATACATGCTTTTTTCAAAAATTTCAGTAATGTAATAATAGAATATAATTATATAATAATAGCTGAAACATGATTGCAAACATATACATCTCTAATTTATGATTACCTATATGAACATAACTCAATAATAAAATAAACTAAAGGAAATAAAAAAGTAAAAATAAATAATAAGAAAGTACATTATCTACCACAAGAGATAATAGTAAAAAACAAAAGAAATAATAAGTGTTTAAGATATAATATTCAGGCCGAAGATGAGCTTTTCTCCCATTCAGGGGAATCCGACAAAAGAAGCCGCCTCCACCCTCACCAGGTGCCTCTGATTCTGACTCTAAGAGAATAAGCCTCTTGCAGAAATTTACCAACACAGTCCAATCCTTGCCATTAATATACTCTAGCAGAATCTCACTAGACAGAGTTTCCCTACCAAAATAGTGTTTCCTGACATCGGTCAGTGCAAGGCAAGTTGCCGAGAAATGGAACAAATCCTCCCGCTCTGTACCACTACAAAGATCACAGTTAATATCCTGCGGCTTGAAGTGTTTGTAGTTTAAGTTAAACATATCCCCCCGACACTTAATTATCCACCGCATGCTATCTAAGGGTAGCGAGAGATCCATTAGATAATTTGGGGATTTGAAAAGAAGCGCTCTATGGAGTGGGAAAATGTCTGAATTGGCCAGAGCTTTGTAATATTGTATCTTTATATTGTCTCAAATGGACCGTCTAACTAGTCTCAAACCATCCCTCCACAGTTCAACTCTGTCGATATTGTTCCGGTATAAGGACACGTCCAAATTAAATTACATGATATGCCTTTTTATTTTCTTAAACCAATATATACTTTATCTACAATCTGCTTGGCTAGGATCTTCGGGAGTCTATTGGTTGGTATCTTGCTAATATTTCAGTAGGCCGGCGGGAGTAACTATGACTCTCTTAAATAGCCTGACTCTTAAGTCTGCCTCGAAGGATTCGTGTCCGAAGAATCGGAGCGAGACCCCCGGGTGGACTACCACAATGACTGGGTGAGGGAGTCCAATAGCGAAGAAAGGGTCGTGATGCGAATATATCATCTCTGATGACTTAGCCTCTCACGATTAAGATAACCCCACCTCCTCGATGGTACCGCCGCCACGCCGCCGTGCGTTTCACCCTCCTTTTGGGGGAGGGGGACTCACGAGCTGGCATAACTAACGGGTCTATGTCGGCCAGAGGAACTATGGTCCTAAAAAAAGGAACAGGGTGTGCTGTTTCTCTCCGAGATGGTGACGGAGTCGCTACCCGACAGTGAAGGACACTAACGTAGACCATACATCTCTGGCACCCCTTAACCGGGGCCCACACAAGGGAGCAGCCCTCCCAAGCGCCTGCCGACCTGCCCATACTAGCGTGTAGGAGCAACCAATGACGGAGGCTGCCAACCCCATTCCCAGACTAAATACAGGCACGAGCAGACAAAAGAAGAACAATAAAAATAATAACCCCCCATCCTCAGATGGGGACCCTGTAATACAAACCAGGAGAAGTCCTGCCGGACCATCGTCGTTCATATGCGAGCTGTGCGACAGGTCGTTCACGACTGCCATCGGACTAGGCGTCCACAAAAGACGGTCTCACCCTATCGAGACGAACATGGAAGGAGCAGCCCAACTAACGAAAGCCCGTTGGACAGACGAGGAGATACAAATCCTGGCGATGGAGGAGCTGAGAGCGGAGAGGGAGGGCGAGCGCCCTATGAACAAGAGGATTCTACGCCTAATCCCGGGTAGGACCTTGGAAGCAATCAAGGGCCTGAGAAACAAAAATACCAAATACAGAGAAGCTATAGCGCGACTCAGAGAAGCCCCACCTGTGCAGGCACCCCAAGACCCCGGACCGAGTGTCGTACAAGGTGGCAATCGAAGAGGCACTGGAAAAAGCGATGACGATTAACACCCACCAAGCCCACAGACTGAGGGCGGTCGCAGCTGAGTTCTGCTTGGACGAGGTACCGAAGGTGGAGGAACTGGGAGCCTGGCACCGGGCAGTCTTCCCACCAGGTACCACGAATCCAAGAACAAGGGCACCGAGGGAAAGTCAATTGCATCCCCAATAAAAGGAAACAAAGGAAACGGGAGTATGCAAGGGTCCAGACGATGATGAGAAAGAACCCAGCGCGGGCTGCGCGAGAAATCCTAGAAGGAGGGAGGATATGTGTGCAGCACAATGAGACACAAGCTGCGTGGAGGCCTATCATGGAGACTAGATCAACCCCGTGGGCAGGCACCATCACCTGGCCCACCCAAAGTCACACCCAGTTGATAGAGCCGATCACTGCCCAAGAGGTGAATGAGGTGAAGCTGCCGATCCGCACCAGTCCGGGACCGGATAGATTTACGGAGAGAGTGTGGAGGGCAGTCCCAACCGAAATCAGGGTACTGCTATACAGACTCCTCCAGGAGATGGGGGCACTGCCCGACAGTTTACTGGAGGGCAGAACCGTCCTCATCCCAAAAAAGAAGGACCCCAGCCCGCAGAACTATCGCCATATTACGGTAGTGTCTGTTATAATCAGGCACTACCACAAGATTTTGGCACAAAGATTCTCGAGAGCCATCCGGCACGTCCCGCAACAAAAAGGATTTTCTGAGGGAGTTGATGGGACGGCTGAAAACATACTACTGTTGGACGCGATAATCAGGGACGCAAAGCGGCGCCTCAACTGCCTTCACGTGGCAACCCTGGACCTGAGAAAGGCGTTCGACTCGGTCAGCAGAGAGGGCCTGCTGGCTGTGATGGCGTCCAAGGAAATACCCACCAAGCTGGCTGAATACATCCGCAGTACATTTGAGGGGACTACTTACCTGGAAATCGAAGGAAGGAGGTCTGGCCCAATAAGACCAAGACGCGGGGTGCGCCAGGGAGACCCGCTCTCACCGGTCCTGTTTAACCTGGTAATGGATGACATCTTGGAGAGCCTACCCTCGGAGGCAGGATACCGGCTAGAAGGGCGCAGGATCAGCACCTTGGCACTTGCGGACGATGTGGTGATGGTCTCTTCCTCAGAACTCGGAATGAGGACCCTGCTGAGGGCTTTCGAGTCCTCAGCAGCCAGGATTGGCCTTGTAGTGAACCCAGGGAAGTCAACAGTACTCTCTCTCATCGCCGATGGCAAAAGAAAGAAAATGTATGTATCAGAGACATCACGTTTCTCCGTGTCCAGGGAATCCCTGACCCAGGTTGAGGTTCTGGACACATGGAGGTACCTGGGGGTCGACTTTTGCGCCTCGGGTGTAAAGGAGATGAGGCTGGAAGTTGAACTGGGTTCACTCTTACTTAAAGTTAAAGCGGCGCCCCTCAAGCCGCAGCAGCTTCTCTTAATCTTAAGAACATTCTTACTGCCCAGGTTTCTCTACGCCCTGGTACTGGGGAGAACCACAGCAGGGAGACTCACCTCCATCGATAAGCAAGTCAGGAAGGCCGTGCGTGAGTGGGTTCACCTCTCTAAGGATACCCCCACGGCCTTCTTCCACGCACCAATCAAGGATGGAGGATTGGGGATCCCTGCGATGGAGACCTTTGTACCAGGGAGCATGACCGGAAGGCTGCAGAGACTGCAAGAGAGTGGAGGTGCGGACACTCGAGCATTACTCAGGAGCCATGCAACCCAAACACACGGCGCAGCCCTACGGGAAGCCAACAAAGAAGGAGCCTCCACAGCATGGATCCAGAAGAACTGTAATGCCATCCCGGGGAAGGACTTCGTCCAATTTACCCGGACATGGGTAAATGCTCTCCCGACCCGAACCAAGATGGCGAGAGGCGAACGAGGTCACGGCAGGAACCTGCGCTGCCGCGCAGGGTGCGAGGCGAGGGAGACGTTGGCTCATGTGATCCAAAGCTGCTGGCGGGCGCACGGAGGCAGAACCCTCAGACATGATGCGATTGTGACAGCGCTCGCGGGAGCCCTTAAGCATAAAGGGTACAACGTCAAAAAAGAGCACCTCTTCTCAACGGCATCTGGGCGGTTCAAGCCGGACATCTTAGCAGCAAGAGACGGCCACGCCCACGTGTTGGACGTACAGATCGTGGCCGCTGGGCCGCCTCTACAGGAGCTCCACCGTACGAAGAGACTCAAGTACCAAGCGAACCAGGACCTCACCAGGCAAGTGGCGGAGTTGATTCAGGCGGAAACGACGTGTCTACGCTGACAATCTCCTGGCGCGGAATCCTGTGCCACGCATCAGGGCAAATACCTGCAAGATATGGGAGTAACCGTATGCTGGCCGGTCTGGTAACGAGAGTCCTTCAGGGGAGCCATACGACCTGGACAAGGTTTAATCAGACTACGTCGATGAGATGACGGCACAATCCTGGCGAAGTGAAACTAACGTGCGTGAGATCTCCGCACGGGACACAGTGTACAGTGCAAACACAGTGCGACTGAGAATGTCGGGAATCTGCTATGTACAGTAAATTAAGTAATGATGATGTAATCCTGGAACCGGTAGAGATCAAATAAACGTTTTTGATAGTCAACTATGCTAAGGATTGTGTTGGTAATTTGCTACAACCAAGAATGCTGAGGTGAATAATACCACCCCGAGTAGGCAACTGTGATGAGGTATGAGTTGGTAACATTACTATTATACCACCTCAGGTGGGCAACTATACTGAGGCAATTAATATTCCTACCATTTCAATTAGGCAACTATGCTGAAATGTGACTACCACCTCAGGAAGGCAACTATGCTAAGGTGAATGTATGCTCGTAATACCATTGTAAATTACTAGCAAAAAAGGAAAACAAATTACAATAATTTACTAGTTGAATCAGCACCAGGTCATTGACGTCGAAGCCTGTTTTAACAAATAGTTTATAATTTATGGTACGCTGTATTGAATCAGAATTTCTAAAAATCATGCAATCATTAAATTTCATGCCATGCAATGTTTTTATATTCGTTACTTTCCCATGGCACCAACTGCCAACGATATTATGGCGTTTTTAAACGTTATCAACGGAATGATCGAAACGAAAACTCACTTCTCACTCTTTAGTTTAATTCACTACTTTCGTGGTCCACTTGACCAATTAATACATGACAATTAATTAAGGGTTTTAGTGGAGATGAAAAAAAGCTAATGGCACGAGAGGGATTCGAACCCACGACCTTCGGCTAGATACGCTACTGCTCTACCACCTGAGCTATCGTGACCTCGATCCACTCGGACATCAACTCCCCATCTCAACTCATAAGGTGGGGTTGAGATGGGGAGTTAATGTCCGAGTGGATCGAGGTCACGATAGCTCAGGTGGTAGAGCAGCGGCGTATCTAGCCGAAGGTCGTGGGTTCGAATCCCTCTCGTGCCATTAGTTTTTTTTCATCTCAACTAAAAAGCTTTAGTTTAATTTTGTAGTTAAATAAAGTCGGCTCACCAGCTGGAATGATGTGAAAAACACAGGGGTCTATTTGTTGGCCAGCGGAATTGGAAGCCCAGCACATCACAGTACCATAGTCCATTTCGTTCTGGGGCGTATACGAAAGCGTTGACAGCGACAGCTGGAGAGAATTATGGAACCTCGAAGGCGAAATTTCCATGTTTTCTGCAGAATTGTTGAAGGACCAGTGGAATCTATCGGGAGCCGGGAACGCTTCGACTTCACAAAGCACTCGGGCCTCTTCGCTTCTGCCAACGCCTATTACGCTTTTCTGCACCTCTTTACACATAGGTTTGTCTAAAAATATTAAAATGCAGAAAAAAAATATTGAGAGTTTAAAAAAAATTAAACTGCTCAGTTGTACTTACACATGACTTTGAGCTGGACGGCGTTACTTTCTCCGTCTCCTTCCACATTGGAAGCAATGCATGTGTAGTTTCCAGATTGGCTTTTTCTCACCGATTGTAAAGCGAGATCTTTATGGCTTATTATCACACCCCCTTTTTGATTTCCTTGCACGATGTGATTCTATAAAGTAAAAAAATTATTTTCTTATTGTTGTTAACAAAGGGACAGAATAAGCGCCGAGATTTAAAAAAATAATAATAAGTACAAAAAAATAAATAAAGACTTACGTTATGCTTCCAAATCACTTTATAAGCTCTAGGGTTTGCATCGATTTTGCATTCAAAATAAACATCGTTCCCTTCTTCAATTCCTCCCGGGTCCAATTTCGACCCGAATTCAAGTTTAATCTGAGGCACATCTGTCAACACATTTCCACCTCCTTCTTTAATAACATTGTGCGAATATCGATGGGTACACATTTTTTTTCAACTTTTCATTTTGTTGTTCGTAGTGTACAGAAAAATAAATATACAAAATTGTTAATACTTACACGAAACATCAAGTTTCCAAGTGTCCTCCAGCGCCCCAGCGGTAACGTAAGGATTATCTGCTCTACAAATGAGCCTTCCGCCGTTGTCGCTGATAATCGGTCTGAATTTTAACGTCGAAGACGTTATGTTACCCCCCTCAGACACCTAAAAAATATAAACATAACATTAAGAACATAGACTACCAAAACGAAATAAACGTCAAAACGTCCCCAAGTCTTTTATTTTGAATTTATTATTATTTATATATTAATCATCATTAAAAAACACCCTGGACCGGAGAAATTTTCTCACTGTACGAAATTAATGTTTAATCGTTTTTTAAAACACTTAGGTACAAATTCGTAGTATACTAAATAAAACAAAAAAGATTGGTTTTTATAGATTAAATCGACTTTTAGAAAACGATAATGCCATCGCCGGTTTTTTGCCCTCTCTTTAGACTGCTAATCAAACCGTTCGACCAGACAATTTCTCCTCCTGAAAAATTTATTTTTTTCATTTTTCAGTACACTTTTCATCTAAACTCTTCCTCATATCGAAACAATTTATTTTTTATTTTGTAGAATAATAATAGAAAAACAGTACTGAGGGATGTTTTAAAAAACCCATGAACGGAGGAATATGTACATTTTGTACTAAAAACAATACGTACGCGAATTTAGTTTATTGACAAAAATTATTAACTACAGCTATCTTGGCTACAAATTCGTAGTATACCAATATAAATCAAACAAAATGATACGTTGTTATAGACCCAATAGATTTTTCGAAAATGGTACTGAAGTATGGCAAGATTTTGGTCTCTCTCTAACATTCTAAGCGACTTTGAAAAACTTAAGAAAATACGGTCATTTTAGAGTTTGATGTTTAAGCCGAAAGAAAAAATTCTCCCTTAATAATATTTGTATAACTAACGTCTTCATGGAGTAAATTAGGCGTCAATGATTGGAAATAGTCATAATGGGAAAAATTTGACCTGGTTCCAAAAAGTCGCTTTACCCGTAAAAGTTGTATTTTTCATATTTCGGTACGCCTTTAAAGATAACCTTACAGATAGCTCCGACTCACAGTTAGTTGTTTTCAACGATACGAATTTCAAGTTTACAGCTCATCATCAGGTTGAAAGAATTTACAGCACGTCTCTCGACATGAATTGTAAAAGTGAACCCGCCGATCCCCCGCCAACGCGATTCCAACGAGAAGCAGGTTTCTAATGACGCTCAATTTTGAACGTGCGAAAAATGGGAATTATAACGCAATCAAATATTATATTAATAAATATTGTAAAAAAATAATTATAAATTAGTGATTTTTAAATACATTTATTTATCCATCCATACATCCACCGTTTCTTGGAGAAGCGATGCCTGCGGTCGTGCACACGCGGAGAAGAAGCGAGCATTCCGGCGCTTGAGAAGACATCCGACGGAGGAGAACCTTGCAAATTTTAAAGCAAAAGCAAAGGATAGCCTGATGAGGTATGTCTCTGAAATGACTTGCCACACCTCGGCAAAGGAAGTATGGGACAGGATCAGAGCCACTCTATGGCCGATCCAAACCTCCCGGTATCGAATTGACCTCCGATCGCGGGAGTGTGACGGAAGCCTCGGAGGTCGCCGAAGAACTGGCGCGGCATTTCGCCGAGGTGTCCAGTTCCGAGACTTATTCCGATAACTTCCGACAAGGGAAAAACGAGACGGACCGTTCTGAGATTGATTTCGGCGGCGGCACCAGTGAAGCGTACAACATGCCTCTGATGTGGGAGAGTTTGAGTCAGCGTTGGGGCGCGCCCGGAATTCAAGCCCCGGGTGTGAAAACATTGAGAGAAGGGTCAAACAAAGCACACCCTACATTTCCTCCAAGCACCGACCCGTCAGTAAAAACCAGATGATGTCCAGGGAACAGCCGATTCACGTCTTCCAGAAACATTACATTCACTGCTGGAGAATGACACTCTGAATGGTCTTCAAAATAAAATGTATGTGGAATGGGGCTTTGCAGTAATCTAACTGAAGAGTCGGGGAGAGCTCGTGAGAATACATTGAAAGTAACTCAGGAATGACCGTTAAAAAGGCTGAAACTATAGGAGGCATTTTTTTTTTCAACCAGAACTTTTCTGTTAGGACTACATCAACCAAAGCTTTGATCTTAGGCAAAATAGGGCTGTCGGAAGAAAAAATGTTTATGATTTTATTAATTGGTAATTTTTTGATTCTTAAGTGCAAAGGGGGTTCTGAAGATTCAGCGGAAAGTGATATGATTGGGGTACTTGGAAGAGCTCCGAGGATACGTCTGTAACACTTGTTACAGAACATTTGTATTTTGTTTAATGTGGAATTGGAGGCTTGGCCGTAAAATAGTGAGCCGAAGTCGACAACGGATCTAATGGTTGCTTTATAAAATAGTAGGCCATTTTGTGGATCTGCCCCCCCCATCTGGCGCCGGTAAGGCTACAAAGAATATTATATATTGGGTTGTCCGGAAAATAATGCAGGATTTTGGTATTAAACAAAAAAAAAGAAACTAGTTACTTTAAAGCAATGTTCTTTAATCAAAATAATATTCACTTTGTCGTTAAGCATCAAAATCTAACATTGCCATAACATCACATTTGGCTAAGGCAAGATTAATGTGTGTCGTCCACGTAAGTTTGCGGTCAATGTTTAAATCTGAAAACCTAACGTGTCTTTTGACAGAGAACTTGTTGAGCCCATTATAATTTCAATCAGTAAGTCTATTTTTCTTTTACGGGTAAACGGGCATATAACCGATTTAGCGTCCGATATCGTCAGACCGTTCCCTTCGAGCCATTTGTCTAAATTCGGAATAAACTCCACAAGTTTGTTCTTGCACATTGCTAAAGAATCTTCAATGACATAGAGACAAATGTCGTCCGCGTATTGTATGATTCGGATCCAGTCCGGCAAAATAGAAGGTAGATCAGAAACGTACAAAGCATATAGGATGGGACTAAGAATTCCACCCTGTTGAAGGCCATTATAGGAGGTTCTAGGACCTATCAAGGTGTCATTAATTTTGAAATAGAGCTTCCTATCAATGATTAAACTTGTGATGTTTCTGATGATCTTTTTTGGCAAACCCATTTTTTACAACTTAGAACAAAGGAGAAAAGTATTTACATTGTTATAAGCTCCGCTCACATCCAAGAAGACTGCCAACACCGACTTATTGTTGGTGAGAGCCAATTGAACATCTGAGATCAACGATAATTGAGCATCGGTTACTGATTTGTTTTTCCGGAACCCGTACTGGGACATAGGGAATTTACCGTTTCGTTCAGCCCACCACTCTAGACGCGTTTTTAAAATGAGTTCGTAGGTTTTTGAACACATGATACCAAAGATATCGGACGATACGAATCAGCGAGATGAGGCGGTGTACCGGTTTTCTTGATCAGAATAACCAAGGTTTCTTTCCACCGATTTGGGATCTGTCCATCATCCCAGAATAGGTTTAATATCTTCAGCAAACTGCTTTTGGCATATGAGGGTAGATTACTTATCATGCTGTAATGGATGTAATCTAAGCCGGGTGCACTGTTGTTCGAATTTTTAAGCGCACTGTTTAGCTCGGCGAGAGTCAGAGGGTCGTTTAGAAAGCTGGAGCCCAAGTCTTCGTGCGATGTGGAAGAGGTGAAAAACATTGAGGGATCGTGAGGGCACAAGTTGCTAATGAAATCCTCGGTCCACTGGCCGACGACCAACGGAGGTTGGTGGGGAAGTGGAACATTTTTTACAATTCTTAATTTCGTCCAGATATCCTTAATAGGTGAAGAGCGATTAAGAGTGGAACAAAATGATTTCCAGGATTTGTACGGTTTTAACCGACGGAGGACCACCCGAACGTAATCGGGAGGTGTAGAAAAATATAAAATAAAATAAAACAGTTTTTAAAGTAAAAAATGATTGAAATATAAAATAAAGAAATGAAATAATAAAGACTCACCAAGCTGTTGTTGTGGTGAATGATAAAAGGTGGGCAGGAAATAGAAGGATTCAGGAGCGATGAAAAATAGGGTATTTGGGGAGGACGGCCCACTTACAAGTACCAGCAACTCCGGCGTTTTGGCGAGGTGTAAAATCAATCCAGAAAAAATTCCAAGCGATGCTAGAAGAGATTTTACAGAAAGCGGTCTGTAGAAAAGCGTTTGCGGGTTCAACACAAAAAATAGAAAAATGGAAAGCAGTGCGTGCTGAGACGAACAAGGCTCGGTCATAAAAGCGACTGATGTGTGGTACCCGGAGTGGGGCGGCCAATCCTTTAGACCGGGCTTCCCGGTATAAGATAATACAAAATAGGCGGGCGATTCTTTAAAATAAAAATGAAAATCCTAACAATATTCCTTTTTGGCTTTACTGAAAGTAAACCGAGCCTCGCGAGAAAATTTATTTAGCATTTCATAATTACTTAAAGTGGGAAACGTTTTATAGATTCTATACGCTTCCTTTCTTTTCTTGACAGCAACGTCACAGTCCGAATTCCACCATAATTTGCCCCTAAACTTAGAATGAGAACTAGAAGACTTGTATGCGGGGATACTTAGGTTATTCACTTTGTCCCACACTTTGGTAAAAGATTCGTAATCGGTTTGCCCATCTTGAACAAAACGCCTATTTTCTTCCCAACATTCCTTGTTAATAAACCAGTTTGCCTTGTTGACGTTCCATTTGGTCTGGTTTTTAAGGGTTTGTCTCGCATTGAAATCTGATACCTGGAAAATTATAGGTAAGTGGTCGGAACCAATTTGTTCATCATAGACTTCCCAATGAGACAGAAGAGAAAGATCTGAGGAAACTAAAGTGATATCCACAGCCGAATTACGGAAATGGTTTGGAAGCTTCACCTTGGTTGGACAACCATCATTTAGAAAAACCAGGTCGTTATCTGTCAAGGCTTGAATCGATCTGCTCCTTTTTTGTCAGTCCAATCTGAGCCAAAGCTAATGTGATGGGCGTTAAAATCCCCTCCTATGATGCAAGGTTTTGGGATACTCTTAAAAAAATTGTCCCATTCCCTTTGCGAAACATTATGCGTAGAATACAGCGAAATAACATTTAGGGGAGAAGATTGTGACGTATTTAGTTGAATACCCAAAGCAGTCTTTAAGCTTATGATTAATCTCT